ACTAGCTACTCGCCCCGGCTTCGTACGGGCGTTATGTATTATACGTACAAACCTTCCTCTTGAATCGCTCTATGTATTAAAAAAAACTTATGTATCAAAAAAATTAATGTATTTTTTTCACACACTTCCTTAATAATTTTCATACTTATAATTTAAATTAATTATAGTAGAATCTCGACCATTTAGCGACCATTATTCATTATGTCTATTTAATGAATAATTAAATTTAAATTATAGCAATCTTCATGTATATTAAAACGGCTGGCCCGATTTGGATAAAATTTTTGTATATCGAACACAATTAGACCTGGTAGGTGCCTGTTGCACCTATATGTAGTTTACATTTTGGTGTTCAATAAGATTAATTATTAAATGTATTTGTATCACATTTACATTGATTTACTAGCCAGGGTAGTCCAGAAACCACAATATGTGAATGTTAATAAATCATAATTAGATACATACAATAATATTTTCATATGTTATATTAGATTGACAATTAAATACATAAAAATATGTATATCTTTACATAGAAATGAAGTTCCGCTGTCTGTTCGCTTTGATCTTTCAAACTATGCAACAGATTTTAATGCAGTTTTTAGCAGTAGATATAGTTATTCAAGAGGAAGGTTTATATTTATAATATATGTACAGCCGGGGCATGTAGTTGAGATATATCTTATATATAAAATTCTCTTGTCAGTTTTCGTTCCCATACTCCTCCGAAACGGCTTGACCGATTCTCATGAAATTTTGTGAGCGTATTGAGTTGGTCTGAGAATCGGGCAACATCTATTTTTCATCCCCCTAAATGTTAGGGGTAGTCCACCCCTAATTTTTAGGGGGATGAAAAATAGATGTAAAACAACGTTTGCCGGGACAGCTAGTATATATATATTGACAGTCGAGTTGCAGGATGCAAATTTCTAAGTTCATAAAGTGTCTACAAAGATTTATTCACTCACATCCTTTGCTATTGAATATGAGTTACAAAAATATTTATTTCCACGCTGAAATCCGATCCGCTACACTCATTCAACCGCCTGCAATATATCACGTCGACTTTAAAAATTTGCAATTGTATAACTTACATTATACTTACTATAAGTAAGCGTCGTTTTTGTCAAGCCCGCGTCACAAATCACTCCACCTTACCGTCATAATTTAGCCGTTCCTGTCAAATTTGACAGATTTATGACACTTCTTTCACAAGTTTCGAATATTGTGACGCCATGACCCCCCTGTGCTTCGCGTTACTCGGTATTAACCCCTCTTATTATATCATTCATTCGACTATTAAATGCATTAAGTATATGTATTATAGAGACCACAGGATGTATTATAGTGAGTACGTTTTTGGTGATACTGGCAATATTTTTTTAGTAGTTAATTACTATAATTAGATAAGATCCATGTCCTTTGATTGGGCAGTTTGAATTAGCCTATATAAAATAATATTATATTTTTCGTATTGCGATTTGTATTGGTGCGAATTTATTTCCATATATTTCAAATGTATACAGTAAAAAGTGTAGTGTCTGTTTGTAATTTTAAATTAACAGCTTTCCGCTAATATACTATATACGGTATATATATAAGGTACTTACATAAAAGTACGTTCTGAGGAATTGTTCGGATTAATACCAGCTGCTGAGTTTCACCACCGTACCACCCGCCAGGAACTGAAATACCATCCTGAACATCTGGATGAATGGCGGTCTTCCACAGTGCGGTTTTCTAGAAACCACAATGTGGAATCACCTTCCAGCAATAGTATTTCCGAACCGATACGATATTGAAACCTTCAAGAAATGAGCTTATTCCTTCTTAAAAGACCGACAACGTACTTGCAATTCCCCTGGTGTTGCGGGTGCTCATGGGCGGTGGTAATCACTTACCATCAGGTGAGCCGCATGCTCGTTTGTCCTCTGTGTTATAAAAAAAAACTTACATAAAAAATTGATATTTCTTTTGTCATTTGTTTTACATAGCGGTATAACACATCGCCTTACTTCATTGGTCGCGGGTTAGGTTCCTCGCACGATACAAACATTGTATTCATCAGTATGATTGTTTAGGTGTTCTCAATATAGACATATTACGTATGTATTTACAAAAAAAAATGTATCTAAATATTTATATCAGTACTCATAACACAAGCTCTGCTAAGCTTGAACTAGAATTGGGTACTATACTCTAGTTGTTATTAATATTATACTGATCCCACTAGTGGGACTGAATTACATAAATGATGATATCATTTTCGTAGATAATAATAATAATCTCAGGACAATTCACACAGCGCCATCTAGTCCCAAGTTAAGCTAGCTAAAGCTTGTGTTATGGGTACTAGATAACTGATACAAAGACATCCTTTTTTTCGTAAATACATACTATATTATACATAGAAAACACGCAGATAGATACAAACAATCATACTCGTGAATACAAATGTTTGTGCCGTGCGAGGAATCGAACCCGCGACCATTGGACATAAAGCGGTGTGCTGGACCGCTATACCACCAAGGTCGTCAATTTTCGTAGACAGAATTGAACTCCGGATAAGCAAGCCGTTATTGGGTGATATTAATTACTTTTATACGCAAATAGCCAATTTAATTACCAAAAAACACGAGGTCGCCGCGCAGGCAGACATACTCCGTCTGGTTGTAAATCATGCAATACTACATTATAATTAAACGTATGGACGATTTATGTCCTAATAAATATGTCGGGTTCTTACCCACATTGTCTTGAACACGCTTTTTACGGTGGCTGTACTTAAGGGGTTTTTTTTACAAATATTTTGTTCAATAAAGCTTTAAAACTGTCTTTTTACAGTGGCTGTACTTACTTGGCGTTTGTATAAATCTAAATATACATAACTCAAAGATGAGAGAGACTGACTGATATAGTGATCTATCAACGCACAGTCCAAACCACTGGACGGATCGGGCTGAAATTTGGCATGCAGGTAGATGGTATGACGTAGGTATCCGCTAAGAAAGGATTTTGATTAATTCTACCCCCAAGGGGATAAAATAGGGGATGAAAATTTGAAACTTGGTAAATTTTAAACCGATCGGGCTGAGACTTTGCATGCATAAAGCTACTGTGACGTAGGCATCCCCTTAAAAATATTTTTTATAAATTCTACCCCTAAGGGGATAAATTAACGCGAGTGAAGCCGCGGGGAAAAGCTAGTTATTTATATATTTACTAAAGCTTTGATACACAAATGAATGAAAATCTTTATGATTCTTCTCGCATGAGAGACAGTTATTAGTTACATTTTTGTTACTGTAAAAGTATTACTACAACTAACAACGACTGATTTACTCTTATTTAGTTACTCAACCAGTTTATTTTCTATGTATATTATGCTTGTATTTAAACAAAAATTATCTAAGTATTTATTTCAGTTGTCTAGCAGTTGTACTAAGTAGAGCTAGTGTTATGGGTATTAACATTAGCTCTGCTTATATTGGGACTAGATGGCGCTGTGTGCATTGTCCATAGATATTATTATTAGTCGTGAATAACTATATAACTGCCTACTCAATATGTAAATAAAATCTCAAATGGCATAACATTTTATGACTTGATATTTTAATATATTAACCTTTTTACATTTCATGTATATTTTGACCTAATCATAATCGTCAAATCCTAATCGAATCTGTGTCAAATTTGATGTGTTAACATTTATAAAGTTTCAAATATATAAATACATATATTATTGTATATTTAGTGAATATGCCGCGTGCACTTAGATTTTTTGAGGTTTTTTGTTATACGATATTTTATCCAAAACCTATTGTAATTGAAATAATTAATTTATTTATACTTTTGGTCTTGTTAGCACTAAGTGTACCAATAAGAGTATGTCAGATATATAACATATAGTTTTTCTATAGCTGTGTATTATTTTAATATACTAATGAATGTACAAATTGAGTACTAATATATTTTGTGGAGGATATGTACTTGCATCATTATTCTGATATTTATTTTAGTAAATTTTATTGTATTTTTTTTTCTTCAAACAGTGAATTCAATTTATTTTTTTTATTTTTTCGAATAGGTACTTCTATCAGTTTTTGCTTGATTCTGAATATATGATATTCTACATCATATGCATATAGTTTACAATAATTAAATATGCATATAGATTTAACAGAATTAACAGCACAATCTTTTAAAATAAACGAGGAAAAGATGTTTTTGTATTTGAATTAAAAGTTAAAAACTCACTGCTGCATCTTTCATCATCTCTAATTTTTATAAATTAGCTTTCCGAAAGGGTGATAAAATAAATATAATAATAATAATAATAATCTCAGGACAATTCACACAGTACCATCTAGACCCAAGTTAAGCTAGCTAAAGCTTGTGTTATGGGTACTGGATAACTGATACAAAAACATAGATTTTTTGTAAATACATAAATATTTACATAGAAAGCACCCAGACCGATACAAACAATCATACTTATGAATAAAACAGCTTGCACAGTGCGAGGATACGAACGCGCGACCATCGGTCGTAAAGCGGTGTGCTAGACCACCGAGGTCGTCAAATAGAGTCGATATTAAGTATTATTGAATAAAGATTATTTCCATTTCTATTCTTTATAGAAAAATATCTTCCAGAAACTTCCGAAAATCAAACTAGCCGATCGACAATCCGACGCCCGGGACTATATCTATGCTCTATGTTTTTTCACAAAGGCTGTAACAACTGTTATCTCGCAACGGGCCCGGGCATCTGTCCTTACATAAATCTGTCCCATACGCAAAGAATTAAAACGTTCCCCATTGTGGACGGCTGAATAAATCTTGGAGATATCTTTGTGAGGGACGCGAGACGCTCGCGGCCCCGCGCACTTCCATATTTTACAAATTTTTGACAGTCGATATGGCTTTCCTAAAAGGCACCTGCCCAATGTAGCCACAGTACCCATCTACCCATGCTTTGCTTGTACGGGCTCCAAGTTTTTTTTTTTTAGTTTTGGGAGGAAGTATAATTATTAGATAACGGACATAGAAAGAAGCTTAAAGCTTGAGTTTTGTCCTCCTCCAGTGACGCCTCTTAGCATTGTACCGAATAGTGTTCCCAGTGCGCATTCTAACCCATTGGGGAATAGGTCTGTTTTGTTTGAGCTTCTTAGCTAGTTTTCGCTTAACAATAAATGTCTTATGGGCCGACATTTTGCCTCAAGCTGTCAAAACAAAATGGTTTGATTTCTGAATCCATACTATTACTGACAAAAGTGCCTGTCTCTTACTTATTCGCGGCTGAATGGCTTATCAGATTTTTTATACAACAAATTAGTGTATAGAATATATCCTACATTATATATATAAATAAATTCGACAACCTCGGTGGTCTAGCGGTCTATCACACCGCTTTACGACCGATGGTCGCGGGTTCGATTCCTCGCACGGCACAAACATTTGTATTCATGAGTATGTTTGTTTATGTCTGGGTGTTTTCTATGTATAATATATATGTATTTACGAAAGAAAAATATCTGTGTATATGTATCAGTTATCTAGTACCCATAACACAAACTTTAGCTAGCTGAACTTGGGTCTAGATGGCGCTGTGTGAATTGTCCTGAGATTATTATTATATTATTATTAAAAATAACTATGTGTCCAGTTAATATAGATCAGAGTTCAATGAAATTCGAATTATATATAGCTTGTATCACTAGGTAGGTTTTGAGCAATGTTAAGGGGTGCAAAGGTTTGACTACATGTATTAATCTTATTAATATTATAAACGCAAAAGTTTCTGAGTACGGATATTTGTTACTCTTTCACGCAAAAGTAACTGAATTGATTTTGATGAAACTACAGTAATATAGCTTATATATTAAAATAACATATAGGCTATAAATTTCAGGCGGGAAACCGAGTAAAGCCAGTATAATAACATAATAGCTATTTTGGTAACAAAATGAATCAGATATAGTTATCAGAGCAGACCAACCGACAACAACGGACCAACAGATATAATTATCAGAGCAGCAACCAGGACTGGGTCACAAGTATAAATTTGTGAACACCACATTCCTGGGTAATGTATTTCATTTCATTTCAAGACATCAAAAAGCACATCCGCGACATCCGTGGTGCGGATGTGGTTGTTATTCGTAGTGACTAAGGTGTAAACTGTATTACTGTAAAGTTTCATCAAAATCCATTCAGTAGTTGATGCGTCAAAGTGTAACAAACATCCGTACTTACAAATCCCCTCCGATCGATCCCCCGTCCCCTCCGATCGAGATCCAATTCAAACGGGGATCGAAATTACGACGGCCTGAGCCGAGGTTCGAACCCCTAGTGGTGCCCTCAGACTAAAGTCGTATCCGTCAGACGGGAGTTAGCCTTCAGCCGCTCCATAAGTCCTTCCGCGAGTTTGGAGTGCCATCTCCACTCGCCCCATAACGTCCGGTGAAGCTGTAAAGGCCAGCTACGGCCAACAGCATTAGAGTAGTCCGAAAACAAACGGTCGCATTTATTAAGATTGGTACATAATTTACTAATGTAGTAAGAACATTGCTGTATTGGGTTGAACCTGTAAAGACAGTACTGCATGATGGCAATAAATAACAAAATGTTTTCAACATAAAATATTGCTTAATATGTATGAAATATGTTCAAAATAGTTACCTTTTTACATACCTGTCTAAATCTACGTTTCTTTCTCTACATAACTATTTTAGGAAACAATCTGAAAACATCGTTTAATATTACGAGGAATAATCTCGGAAATAGATTGGTTTGGAGTTTATTGTTGTGGAAGGAATGTCGTTGAACTATATGCGAAAAATAGTCTGTCATATTATTATTGTTATATGTTGATTTGATATATTTATACATATAAATAAAATTGGAGTGTCTGTTTGTAATATTGAAGTAACCGTTTTTAACTACAGGCATATGAAAATATATACGGTACATATACCAAAATAACAATTTTTACAATTTTTGTCTGTCGGTCTGTTTGTTCCGGCTAATCTCTGAAATGGCTGGACCGATTTTGACGGTACTTTTTTTGGCAGGTAGCTGATTTATAAGGAGTAACTTAGGCTACTTTCATTTTAGAAAAATAAAGTTAAATTTCACGCGGATTTTCAGCTTGTATGGAATATAAATTAGAAATATTATTTTTTATAAGTTAGTTTGTGTCTTAATATACTTAGTACTAGTGTTCGCATTGACTTTAGCTTTATTTTTCTAAAATAAATTAAAAATCTAAAATAAATGTAGCCTAAGTTACTTCTTATTACATCAGCTATCTGCCAAAAAAAAGTCACGTCAAAATCGGTCCAGCCATTTCAGAGATTAGCCGGAACAAACAGACAGACAGACAGACAGAAATTGTAAAAAATGTTATTTTGGTGTATGTACCGTATTTATATTCATATGCATGTAGTAAAAAACGGTTATTTCAATATTATAAAAAGACACTTCAATTTTATTTGTATGTATAGATTTGCGTAAAACTACATGGTTTTCAATGTTAAATTAACACAGTTTTGTTCTATTTTTATAATATAACACGTGCAGCGTGTTATATTTAAAAAACAAAGCTAGTTAGTTAGTCAGTTAGTCCCTAACTAAACAAAGCTAGTTATGGATACTAGACAACTGACGTGATATTTTAGTAAATATATCATTTACTAAAACTACTATATAATGTATACCATATGTTACGGAAGGAAAGATGGACTGTATTAGGACTGGTAAAAAATGAGACACGTTCCTAGGTGACGTAAAATAGATGTAATCAGCTCACTAGCAAAAATATAAAGACAATATGGCATAAGAAAACAAATAGTATATAAAAACAGAACGTCAAAATATAAAATTCAAATATATATAAAAAACATAAAAATTATCAAAAAGGTTGCCATCGGCAACACCATAATTGTGTAAAGCAACGTAAATAAATAAATACAAATAAATAAATAAAACATCACTTCAAAAAATACACTAGACATGTACATAAAGTTCAATGTACCATGTCACTTTGACTATGACCTTCATGCGCGTAACTCTGGAAACCATAGTGATAAATTCCTGGTGAATTTTCCATGGAGGTGCTGACTGACCTGACCTCATGCTCATCTTATCATCCTCCTCTAGTGCCCCGCCAGCGTATACCGTTAGCGCAGGCGGTTTCATCTTTGCATTGTCATCACATAGTATAAAATAAAGTCGCTGTCGCTGTCTGTCCCTATATATGCTTAAATCTTTAAAACTACGTAACGGATTTTGAAGCGTTTTTTTTAATAGATAGACTGATTCTAGAGGGAGGTTTATATATATAATACACTCGCTCTTGCCGCGGCTTCGCTCGCGTTGATTTATCAAAATGCTTTCTTAGGTGACGCCTACGTCATACTAGCTTTATGCATGCAAAGTCTCAGCCCGATCGCTTTAAAATTGACAAAGTTTCATACAAACTTTCATCCGCTATTTTATCCCCTTGGGGGTAGAATTAATCAAAATCCTTTCTTAGCTGATGCCTACGTCATAACATCCACCTGCATGCCAAATTTCAGCCCGATCCGTCAAGTGGTTCGGGCTGTGCGTTGATAGATCACTATGTCAGTCACCTTTGAGTTATATATATATCGATGTACACCCGTGCGAAGCCGGGGCGAATAGCTAGTCACAAAACGAACCGTCATCTACTAACCGTAGAAGCATCGTATAAAACATTTACGAGCAATTAATACCTACTTAAACCGTATAACTTTAATCCAAATATAACGAAAAAAAAAGCAACGATTTCTGTCGGACCACTTAATAAATTGTCTGTAGGTTGCATGAAAAAAGGTATATAAATCGAACCACCAATAACACTATAGTGTGGAGTTTATGTGATGCCCTTGAAATGTGTTATCGGGCCGACGATTCTTTATTGACACTAAATGTGGGGACACACGGGGGTGGACTGTGAGCGGTTAGTCCACGCGAACGCTTAGAAAACGCACACAATTTTGGAACTTAATTCTACTGGCACAGATATTATTTTTATTTACAACTACATATTCAGAAATTATATGTTTTTATATAACGTGTGTTGTTTTCTATTGCAATGTATTTGATTGATCTGGGGTCTAGATACACGTAAAAATATTGATTTACGAATTGGTACGGTAGCAAAACATCTGTAGAATACAGTACAAAATATATTATAGTTCACCAAACAGCTTTAACCAAACAAACGTGAATTGTTTTGTTCATATTCATATTTTAATGAAATATGTAAGTCATATTAACAGATTCATATTCGAGTTTGTTGCTGGTTATTCTCAACTGACACTAATTTTAGTCTGACGTCAAGTTTAAAAAAAACATATATAAAATTGACGTACATAAATGGCTAAAATTTGCTACGTAAAAGATAGGTTCGTGTAAAAATTAGCTTTTAAGAATAAGATTGGTATCTGATATAACCAGTTATCATGAGAAATAACACGAATATACGTATATATGACAAATTATTGTACATGACGTATGGATTTAGATGTTAAACCGACTATACTGACATAGCAAACAAATTTCTAAACATTTGCAGTATTAGCAAGGATATTATTACACTTTGTGTAGTTTAGAGGATTAACATACCATTCAAATAGAGATAGGATGATACAATTGTAGTATTTTAACACGTACGCATTACAACGACCCAACAAAATATATATTAATAAAGATTTTATCGTATGAAATATTGTTATAATATGTTAAATAGTGTTGATAAGTCTCTTGCTGTTATAAACGGGTTTCGACGTATTCGTGTATTTGTTAAATGTATTTCTTTGGCCAATTTTTGACATTTGGTAATTCCGTTTTGTCATTAATATAATTTTAACATTAAATGTGATTCGTTATGTATGATTAAGTTATATAATGTCTAAATTTGTCTATGATTATTTTGATCTATATTAATATTCACGTTTGTTTAAATAATATTACGAGTTGAGCGTTGAGAAGTCGTTTGCTACATTAAAGTTGAAGAAGGTCGTAAGTTCGAATCTAGCTGATACCAAAGAAACGTTATGTGTCTATTTATATTTAGGACTATTCTTGTGTTTAGTAAGACAATTAAAACAAACTACTAATAGTAAACTGATATACGAAGATACGCCTGCCCTCTCTCAATGTGAATTTAAATATAGTTGACGATGCTTCTGAGTACACCACGGTAA